GGTTGCCTAGCCTTACGTCGCCCTTCCAAGGAACTTCAGGAAGGCGCCGCGTAACAGTACTTACGTAGTAATATTCAAGGGAATCGGCATTAGAAATTTATTTAATCGAACATACACCAAATTCATTTAATTTAAGAGCTAAAAAGATATATTATTAAAAGTATTTCAATGGGTAATATTAACAATTTAAAGTGAGTCATTTCATGACTAATGATTGAATTAAAACAATTCCTTCTGTTTCAATTTATGTGAACTCATTTGACTGAGTACGAAGTTTAAGAAAAGAGAGAAGACTTCTGAACTTGTGGTGTAAAATGAGGCACATATATTTTGTGTGATTATAAATCATTGCATAAATATAAATTATTTTCAAATAAGGAAAGAAGTCATTCGTTTTGGCAAAGATTTAAAAAGAAAGAAGTTCACATAAATTGAAACGGATGTAGTATTTCGTTTTGTAATTTCTATGGTAGGTAATAAATTCTGACTATGAATGTTACTATTGTGTGTTTTTTTAATACTTAAATGTTCTTACATTTCTTTTAACTTAATCTTATTTAAGTGGAAAAATATTTTCAGCATTTGGTATTTAAAAGATTTACGTATATAATTTAAGCTAACTCATAGCATGTTTGGCCAAGCTTCTCAAGAGGCTAGAAGTGCTTTTTTTCTCAAAAGTATTTTTTCTCCCTAAATTAAGGTGTTTGGCCAAGTTTTTTTAGGGAAAAAAGTGCTTTTGGGAAGAAGCAGAAGCAGTTTTTGAGAAGCAGAAAAAAATAGCTTCTTCTCAAAAGTTGAAGCAGAAATAGTTTTGACTTTTCTTCTTACCAAGAATACCCTTAACAAAATATAGTATATACCAAAATAACCGTTAAACCTAACACTTAGGATATTAATGTATACATATTTCTTATTATTTTTAGGATAACTTTCTAATATATAATGACTTTAGGGGTGAATGCTTTTATATTTGTTGAATGATTTTAATATATTTAACTTATATTAAAAGAATTAAGTACTTTTAAATTTTATGTTCATATTTTACTAAAATAAAATGAAAAGATTTAATTATTGCCTGTAATAACAAATTTTTGAGATTATTTATTTACTTATAATATTAACTATTAAGTAAACATATTCATGTCATTATTCGTAATTTGATACCTAAAAGCACTTTCTCAAAAATTTGTGCAAACACAAATTATTACTCAAAAATACTTTTCAGAGTGATTATCCAAATACAAAAATACTTTTTTCAAAAGTAATTTAAAAAAAATACTTCTCAAAAAAAATTAATTTTTCGGTCAAATAGGCTATCAATCGTGCTCTTGGGGTATGCAGCACTGGTCTAATCTCACCAATAGAAGGAAAGGACGCGGAATGACAGATGTTGAATTGGTCAGCATTTAATATTTTGAATTAGTCAATTTTTCTGTCTACATGCCTTCTTGTTCACTTTCTCATAATTTACACTCTAAAGTTTTCCTTTTTAGATTCAAGTTTCTCATAAACAGTTTCTTCTTTCCTCACTTATCTCCTACAAAAACTCTTACAAATCCATCATTTCATGCACCCAACTTCTCGCAACTCAAAGCATTCCAGCATTCATGCAGGTCGAAAGAAGGGTCACACCCAAAAGATATAATATAGACAATCTACGTTAAAGCAAGCATAAGTAACTGCAAAAAGGTAAGTTTTTTCTTTTTTCATATACATTTATGGAACCCTAGAACCTTAGATAAACTAGCTACATCACACTCTCTTCATCATTCCAAGACTCTCCTCGTTTTCGCCAATAATTTGCTTATCAATGGCATACTACTCATAAGTAAATTCCTGTTGTGTCTAAATTCCCTACAATCTTGTGGAAAATAACCTCTTTCTACCTCTCACAAGGTAGGAGTAAGATCTGCGTACACCCCACCTTCCTCGGACCCCACTTGTAAAATTTCACTAGGTATGTTGTTATTATTAAGACTTATGTAAATAAGAAGATCAAAGCGTCACGCCAACCGAAAGAGTTAAGCTACTAAGCTAAGGTGCTAGGCTTCACAGTAGTACCTCCCCTTTTATCTTTCTGAAAAAGACTTAAGTAGTTAAGTTTTCAAAGGTGAACATCCCCTGTCCTGTATAGTCGTAAAGGGCTTCTCAGAAAAGTCAAGAAGAAGGCATTTGAAAGGCCGACCACTATCTCATAGGCATTCTGGTGATAAAACCAGTCCAATTCTTTCTTTTAAAATGGACTTTTCTATCAACCCGGAATACAACTCACTCATCAATGAGCTAACTCAAGGCATGGAACACACTAAGCAACTTAGAGCTTACTTGAGAACTGTACCTTCCACTTCTGAAACAACTCAAGAGGTTCTTTTGCAGAAGATTATTTATTCTTATGAGCAATCTCTGTTAATTCTCAAATGGAGTGGCTCAACACCCAAATCCTCACTGCCTCTACCACCAACAATTGGTGCAATTGAATCTCCATCTTTTGCCAATGGAAGTCCTAAGAGTGATGACATGAAAAGGAGTTTCATACATCATCCGGAGCTCATAGATAATTCAAAGAGGAGGTAATATGACCTCTATCTTTTGTTCCGTTAAAAAAGAACGGTACATTTCTTATTAAACAATTCTTTAACTATAAGTTTCTCATTTTATGCGTTTATGGTTGTTACTTTTGATTTTCTTCTAATAATACATGACATAAGTTATCCGGGATTCTATGTATTATTTTAAGTGGGATAGAATGTAAAATATGAAATATGATCGCGGGTTAAACACACTAAATGAAAAAATTAATCCTCCTAATAAAAAGTAAACACATATTTGAAGTATATATTGTAAACTAAATTGCAATATAACAATTATTGCTAAACATCCATAAAGAAATAATCTTTGCACTAATTTCTGTATTTCAATCCCCACAATACTAATTCCTGCATAACCCGTCAACGACCCCTTAATGAAATGCTCTTATCGCCAAGAAAATTCCATGGCAAAAGTCCTTTTATTTCTTGAATTCCATATCTAATTAAACACCGTTATATGAAATGAAATAGAGAAAGAATTAATTTATTTTTCTAGGTAAACTGACATGGTTCTTGAATGGGTGTAGCAAAAAATCACAGCCCATATGGAGTGAAGAAGTCAGAGTCAGCGCAGAGAGTGGATCTGAAGGTCCTATTGATGATGGATATAGCTGGAGAAAGTATGGACAAAAAGATACTTTTGGAGCTAAATATCCAAGGTAATAAGACAATTTCAATACCCTGAATAAAAAACTATAGGTTGTACAATCCTTTATATCTTTTCGGCTATATTAAAGTTCATTTAATTTCAATATTCCACTAAATAAATTTACATTTTAAACAAATTAAGGGGTCTGTAGGGAGTCGAAAGTTCGGATCCTCTTTTTGTCATTCTGCTTTTAAACATGGTAGAAAGGTAGTAGGAAGTCGAACATCTTTCTTTTCATCCCAGCACTAGTATTGTTATTCTCGTATTTTTTTATTGCTAGATTTATATTACTATTTGACGATGCTGTATTTGTTTCGGTTTTACCACTATCTTCTTGTTGTTACTGTTACTTTGACTCTTCCACTACTACATATCCTTTTTCTGTGCTGTTCTGATTATGCATGCATACTTGAGTCGAAGGTCTATCAGAAATAGCCTCTCTACCTGCGCAAAGTAGGGGTAAGGTTGCATACTCTCAACCCTCTCTAGATTCACTTGTAAAATTATACTGCATATGTTATTATTGTTGTTATTGTAAAATTATACTGGTTATGTGAAGTTACTATATGCTGATGCCAACTTCACATATGTTTTGCAGAAGTTACTACCGATGTGCACATCGTTACATGCAAAACTGTGAAGCAACAAAATATATACAAAGGTCAGATGATGATCCTTATGTATTTAAGATCACATGCAAAGGCTACCATACTTGTAAACAAGCTACTACTTCTGTACTACAACCAACATTCTCTTTAACAAACAGAAATCAACATTTCCAGAATTCTCATTCTGATGACAAACTAATAGGTGACTCTTTTGTCTCTCCTACAACCCATGAATCAAACTACTTCTCAGTCTCAAGCAACAGCCAAATGAATGGTTTTGGAATAGTTCACAACTTGCAACATTCAGAATCATACCTTAGTGATACTGGAATATTTCTCAACTTGCACCATTCAGACTCAGACCGTACTGATATATTCTCCGCCAATACTTCCACAACAAGTTCTTCAGTTGGGGCTGAGTTCACCGGATTGCTTGGAGCTAGATTTGATTTTTCCATTTGGACCAAAACGACTAACACTCTCCAAAAGGACGAATAGTTTAGATGTTATCACCGAGTTACTCTATTGAGGTTGATGAAGTTACTCTATTAGTATAAACATGATTGTAAAATTTAGCAATAGAACTAGCTATGGTTAATTTATTATCGCGCAGCTGTTACTGCTTGCTGTTATTGCTTTTTTTATTTTTGAGTTGAGGATTTATCGTAAACAACATCTCTACCCTCACAAAGTAAAGGCAAGGTATGCGTACACTCTACCCTTCCTAGACCCCATTTGTGAAATTACACTAAATTTATTGTTGTTATCGTAGAACTAACTATCCCTAGATTAGGAACTAGCTATGATATTTGTAACAATGGTCTACTGTGTTTCAAGACTTCCAGTCATTTGACATCAAGCTGCTGAGTGAATTCAAGCATATTCTTGCAAAAGGTTAATGAATATTCCCCGAGTGAATTCAAGCATATTTCCCCTTTGATCCCCCTTTGTTAGAGGTATTATTCCTTTGGTGACTCGAATCTACGACCCTGGGATTGTAGGTGAAGAATACTGACCATCTGAGCAATCCCTCTTGTCGCTTAACATTCATCTTGATCTCAACTTCTGTTGTTTAACTCTAAACAATAAATTACTAATAAGTTATACGATTATGGTTTTGATGATTGTCACACTTCATTGAGGAACCAGATGGGAACCTAATACAATCAGTTTCTTGTGCCCATTAAGAAATGTTTAGTTGTCTAGCCAAATTCTCGAGAAACCAGATAAGGGAACAAATAGGATCAGTTCCTACGACTGTCGTACAGTCAACTCTAGAGCTGTAAAAGCTGTCTTACTGTTCCAATTGACAGCAATGCAGTGGCACAGCCGCTGCTGCTAGAGGCCAAACCAAAAGGTAAAATGTCTCTATCTTTTCACACATGCTCTGTCATATATAAATAACATTACACAAGGGTTGACCTAACACTTGACAATCTGAAAAAACCTATCTTTTCAAGTGCCAGCCGCCACTATTTCCTCTAGGTGCACTCAAAAATAAAGTTGCTAGAAACCAAGGACCAGATCCAATGCTAAAGATGTCTTGAGTCCTTATGTTTGTTGAGTCTTTGTCTTTTGTTCTTTACTTGTAAATCTACACGGCTTTCTAGAAGTATTTTGTAGGACATCATTTAACCATTATTGTTTTGGTTGTTTTGACTAGAGTTAGTCAAGAGTGTTGCTTTTATAATAGAGTTATTGCAAAAGGCTTACAATAGAGTTATTATAAGGGGTGAGAGATTAAGAATTTAATTCTTAAATTGCAACAGGTTGTAATCTGATGTTTGCTCGTTTTAGTAGAGTTGAAATCTTACTGGGATAGGTCGAGGTTTTTAATCCTTTGAGCATGGAGTTTTTATTGTAAATATTGTGTTTTCTCTATTTACTGTACTGACTGTGAAAACTAATAGAGAATTTGATTCTCTGATTGGTGTACCCTTAGTTTCTATCCGTTATCAATAAATTCTTTTCATATAGAGGAGGACATGGAATTAAAGGTTAGTTAGTCAAAGACAGTTCTCCTTAGGGGCGCACAGATGGAGCGGAGTAATTGGTATTATTATTTTATTCCTTATTTTATCTTGGAATTTATCCTCTTATAAGAAATTGTTTCCCCTATATGATCTTGTTGTTAACAAATTGTGCCAATTTTTGCAAAAACATGAATAATTTTATCTAATCAATCCAAATTTGAAAGCGAATTGAGAAAGAAATTATTTTGTTTTCGAATCAATTTACACTACTAGAAATTCGGTAAAAATCGACCAAGGTCACCGACCAACTATGGTCGGTCAAAAAACCGATCAAAGTTGGTCGGTTTTTCAAAATATATATTTTTTTAATTTTTTTTTACGAAACCGACCAACTTTGGTCGATTTTCTTTGGCGCAAAAATGCGGGAAACTATTTTTGAGTCCCGCGAAATTTATGTTTCAAGAAACCGACCAACTTTGGTCGATTTTCTTTGGCGCAAAAATGCGGGAAACTATTTTTGAGTCCCGCGAAATTTATGTTTCAAGAAACCGACCAACTTTGGTCGATTTTTCAATTAAAATAAATAAAAATTAATATGAAAAAAACCAACCAAAATTGGTCGGTTAATTCGGCCGGTCATTTAAAAAAACCGACCAACTTTGGTCGGTAATTTTACTTTTTAATAAAACCGACCAACTTTGGTCGGTTATTTTCGTTCGAAAATACAATTAAAGAGTATAAATCAAATAAAAGACAGTCTTAAAACAAAATATACCAATGGTCTAGTGGTAGAATAGTATCCTGCTACAGTACAAACCCCGGTTCGATTCCCAGATGGTGAATCTTTTTATTACATAATTAAAATACCGACCAACTTTGGTCGGTTTCTTTTGCAATATTTTTTTTTTGAATTTAATTGACCGTTCCGACCAACTTTGGTCGGTATGCCTTTCCGACCACAAAAATACTGTCCACGCGTAAATTGTCACGTTTTGGTCGGTTTTTGGCCATTACCGACCAACGTTGGTCTGTTTTTTTGACCGATTTTTACCGAATTTCTAGTAGTGTTTGAATTAAAAATCTTGCAATTATCAGCTTCTTTATAATGTATATATCAGTAATTTTCTTTATCAAACGTATTAACAACTTATTTTCAGCTTTAACAATTATATCCAAACAAACTTCTTACTTACAAAACAAATAACAACACTTAAAACGTACTTTCTCATCATTTGGTGCTTAAAAACTGTGTACTTAACTTCACCTAACCCAAACGGTTTTAAGGTATGAAGGAAACGACGTGGAAAGAAAGGTTTTAAATTGGTCAGCACTCAACATTTGGACCACCTTATATACTGTCTCATTTATTCCACACGTCTAAAAAGTTATTTACAATATTCAAAGTTCAAACGTCTCCACTCTTAGAAAATCCATCAATTCATATACCCAACTTCTCCATCAAATTTAGCTCCCTTTTTTCTTTTACAATTCCTTCTTTGAAAATGGATTATGGTTTTAATTTGGATTATAACTCACTCATCAATGAGCTAACTCAAGGTATGGAACACACTAAGAAGCTTAAAGCTTACTTCAACTCTGTAACTTCCACTTCTGAAGCGACTCCACAGTTGCTTTTGCAGAAGATTCTTTCTTCTTATGAGCAATCTCTGTTACTTCTCAAATGGAGTGGATCAGCTGTTCAATCTCCACAGCCTCTACCACCAACAAGTGATGACATGAACAAAAGGTGTTTCAATGATCAGTCGGAGCTCATAGATATTTCGAAAAGGAGGTAAATATATATTTTATGACACTTTATTTTGGTCTGTTGAAAAGAGAACACCTCATATCTATATTAAACAACTCTTTATCTTTTAAGTTTCGAGCTAGTTTTGGACGGGTCAAAATGGGTTGAGTCAACCCGTTCAAAAGTAATTTGGGTTGAGATGAGTTGAGTCAAGTTGAACTAAAATTTGGATCATAACCCAATTCGCCAAACTCTTACCAAGCTTTAATTAATGTGTATTATTTTCTTATTAATTATTTAATTATCAAATATGACCTTTTTTTTCTTTTGCTGTGGACACATATAACTTATCCAACAAAAATAATTTTAGTTTAAAGTTATTTTAGCAAAATTACGCATGTATCAATTTGGGCTGAAAATCAGCCAAACTTTAGATGAGCTGAAATGAATTGGGTCAAGATGAGTTGAGTTCCTGCATAAGTATACTAGAACTCCAGCATAATATAATGAAGTTCCAGCATAAGTATACTAGAACTCCAACATAATATACTGGAGTTCTAGCAAAGTATATCGGTCCAATATAATATGCTGGAAGTTCATACACATGTGCTCGAATCTCCAGTATATTATGCTGGAACTTTCCGCGTATTGGAGTTCCAGCATAATATGCTGGAAGTTCATACACAGGTGCACCGAACTCCAGTATATTATGCTGGATCGGTCTCTGTTGCAGTAAAATAATGGCTATTTTTTAATGACTTGGCAAACACTGGCTATTTTTGAATGACCAGTCCGAAAATTGGCTGGCCCGTGCTATTTTTACGAGTTCAACAAATGAGTGAGTCAATAATCAACCCAATCTTGGCGGGTTGGACGGGTCAAATGTGTTTGGGCTCAAATTGACATCCGTAAGTTTTCATTTATCCTCGAGGTTGTTTGTCAGGTTCGAGGAAGAGACCTAATCCCCGCATAAAATCTAGCATTATTTAGTGCAGTGTTTGGTTGTTACTTTTGTTTTCCTCACAAATAATACATGCATAAGTTACGAAAAATTTATGTATTATTTTATGCGGAATAAAATGTAAGAATGTGAATATTTTTTAAAAAAATTAATCCTAATAATAATAATAGTAAACAGTTTTTATTTTCTTTAAAAGTATGCACATATTTTAAATTGTACATTGTAAACTAAATTGCATTATATCAAACTATACATATAAAAAGAAATAAGCATTACACTAATCTTTGCATTCTAATTCTCGCATTACTAATCTCTACATAACTTGTATTTGAACAAAACGACCCCTTAGTAACATGCTCATATCGCAACAAAAATTTCACGACATGTTTATGTTAACCCAGATACATTTCAGCCCAATTGACACAGGCCCAATCGGATAAAGGGAAGCAAAAGGCCCTTTATAAATCTTAGCCCATATCTGTTGTAGTTTAATATGTAAATATCATTACAATTCTTTTTCTTGTTTACACTTGTAAATATAAATAGCTTCTACAGAATAATGAGATCAGTTTTTGGTCAATTACACTTTGACCGACTCACTCGTCTCTCTCTCTTCTTCTCTCATCCCTTCTAGGGTTTTCTTCTTTTCATCTCCGCCATAGCTAACAAGCTTCTAATCTAACATCGTATCAGAGCGGGAATATAGATTCCTCTCGTCGCAAGCTTTCTTCCGATGGTAACCTCATTTGAAATCGTCTGAGATTGATTCTGATCGTCGACGTTTAGAGTACGTTCGTGAGATTTGGGGATTTCTTCAATCTCCGCGTTTAATCGATTTTTTGTGCTTGAATCGATACTAATCTTCAAGTTACTCGAGAGTTTCGACTGGTTTTTCTCTACCTAGGGTTCATGGCTGAACAAAACCTTGTTTCTTCGGGTTTTCAGAAGAAGGCTGATATTACTGCTACTCCTAATCACAAGTTGTGGTATTTTTCATTGTTGATGTCTATTGTATGTACTTGATTTGGATCTATCTTTGATTACTTCAACATACTACAGTGCTTTCTTAGTATTTGTTTCAATTGTTGCTGAAAATGGGTAGTATTATAGATGATGTTAAATCTACTTCATCTTCCAATGGTTTTGCTTCATTTTCCTTGGATCCCTCAGATCCTTTCTATATTCATCCCTCGAATAATCCCGAGAGTTAACTAGTATCTGTACCATTCAGTGGTTATGGGTTTGTCTTATGGCTTAGCAGTATGCTCACTTCCCTATCTGCAAAGAACAAACTCAGTCTATTAGATGGCAGAGTCAGCCAACCCACTCCTGACTCTCCTTACTATCCATACTGGGAAAGGTGCAATGACATGGTTAAAGCATGGATAACTAATTCCGTATCTAGAGAAATAACTGTTAGTGTCATGTATTTTAAAACTGCTAAGAAAGTCTGGAAAGATATAAATGAAAGGTTTGGTCAGTCAAACGGGTCTAAATACATTCAAATACAAAGGGAGATCAGTTCTACTACTCAAGGCTCCTCTGATATAGCTTCTTACTTCACCAAAATAAGGAGTTTGTGGGATGAGCTGAATTCGTCATATGTAGGTCCTGTTTGTTCATGTGGTGCACTGCATAAATTCATAGAGGATCAACATTTATTTTAATTTCTTAATGGTCTCAATTAGTCCTACACAATTGTTAAGAGTGACATTATGTTGATGAATCCCCTTCCACCAATCAGCAAAGCTTATAGTCTCTTGCAGCAAGATGAGAGTCAAAAAGAAGCTCATTCTACTGCTGCAAATTTTTCTGGTGATGCCACCTCTTTCTTAGTGTCTCCTGGCACTTCTACCATAAATAGGAACTTCAGTCTAAAGGTGAATTTTGAGGCCATTAAACTGCTCCAAATGTCTCTTGCAAGTACTGCAAGAAGCCTGACCACATTGTAAACAAGTGCTACAGACTTCATGGGTTCCCTACTGATTTCAAATTCACCAGGAATAAAAAGTATGCTTCTTGTGTCCAGACTGAAAGTCCATCCACCACTGCTGTCACTTTCACTTCTCAGCATGCTGATATCTCAGCCCATGGATTCACCAAAGAGCAGTATCAACACCTGTTGACCTTGTTCCAACAAGTTCATATGTCTAATACTTCCACACCTGATGCCTCCAATGTAGATCACTCTGCTTTTGCACACTTTGGAGGTTTGTTCAGTATGTATGCTGTAGAGTCTGAGGGTTCTCATGTGTGTGAATCATCTCAATTAGGTGTCAATCCTTGGATCTTAGATACAGGTGCTACTAATCACATGACTCCACACAAACATCTTCTTTTTAATGTTCAACCATTAATCAAGCCTTTTCTCGTTACTTTACGTAGTGGATATAAAGCTAAAGTTGTATCAACTGGATCTTTGCATCTTAGACATGATATAATTTTACTTCATGTTCTTCTTGTGCCATCTTTTCATGTCAATTTGATATCAGTTCATCAGATTATCTGTCAGCTAGATTGTTCAGCACTTTTTACCAAAACAATTTGTTCTTTACATGGTCCTTCTCTGAAGAGGCCACTGGTAAAGCTGCAGGCATGTTGTACTATCTCCATCCAGATGCTGACCTCTTCCCAATTCCATCTGGTTCTATGAATGTGTCTTCTTCTAGTACTTTACCAAATTCTGTTTCAATTGTATCTGATAAGTCCAGCCATATTTTTACACATGCTAATGGTACTCATGATTGTAATCAGTCACATTGCCTTAATAAATTGGACTTGTTTTGGCATCAAAGATTAGGACACATGCCTTATCATAAAATGAAAACTATTCCTTTCTTGTCTGATAAAGTATCTTCCAAGCAAAACTTTATGTGTCATGTTTGTTCACTAGCAAGACAACATAGATTACATTTTCCTAAAAGTGTTATACACTCTTCTGCTCCTTTTCAATTAGTACACATTGACATTTGGGGTCCATGTAACACTAGAACTTATAGTGGCTTCAGATATTTTTTAGCTTTAGTTGATGATTATACTAGAGCCACATGGACTCACCTTCTTTCTTGCAAGAGCAATGCTCTTTCTGTCCTTAAAGCTTTTACTGTCATGGTCAAAGTTCACTTTCACTCATCTGTTCAAACCTTTAGGTCTGACAATGCCTTTGAACTTGGTGGCAGTTTTGAAGCCACCAAGTTCTTCTCAAGCCAAGGTATTCTCCATCAGAACACTATCCCAGACACCCCTCAGCAAAATGGGGTGGTTGAAAGGAAATACAAACACGTATTAGAAGTATCTAGGGCTCTTCTTTTTCAATCTAACCTTCCCCTCAAATATTGAGGTGACTGTGTTCTAACTGCCACTTACCTCATAAATAGAATCCTTCTGTTGTTTTGAAGAATCTTTCTCCTTATGAAAAACTTCATGGCCTTCCTCCACTTTATGCTCACCTGAAATCTTTTGGATGTTTATGCTTTGCTACTTCACCTAAGTTTGGCAGAGATAAATTCCAAGCTAGAGCAATTTCTTCTATATTCTTGGGGTACCCCTTTGGCAAAAAGGATTACAAACTTCTTAACCTCACCACTCATTCCATTTTCTTTTCTAGGGATGTGGTTTTCCATGAACACATCTTTCCCTTCAAATCTGATCATCCTTCTATCTTTCCCTGTCATTCTATATCAGATTTTTTAGATTCTGCAACCTCATTTCCTTTACCTTCTTCTACTCCTGCTGTTTCTGCCTCCCAAGACTCTCATGTTCCCTCATTTCCTTCACCTTCTCCTACTCCTGCTGTTTCTGCCTCCCCAGACTCTCATGTTCCCTCACTTACTTCTTCTACACCCCCTCCCCTTTTGAGGAAATCCACCAGTACAGTCCAACAATCTTCCTATCTCAAATATTATGTATGCTATTATGTTTCTTCCTCTAATTCCCTTCCTACATCTTCTGTTGACATACACATGCATGAGCCTCAGTTCTACCAGCAGGCTGCCTCATATCCTGCTTGGCAGGAGGCCATGATAAAGGAATTCCAAGCCCTTGAGGCAAACCAGACTTGGGATATTGTCCTCCTACCTCCTTACAAGAAAGTTATTCCTTGTAAGTGGGTTTATAAAATCAAACAAAGGGCTGATAGTTCTATTGAAAAGTATAAGGCCAGGTTAGTCATTAGGGGTGACACTCAAAAAGAGGGTATTGACTTTACTGAAACTTTTCCCCCTATTGTTAAGCTAACCACCATCAAGTGCTTACTCACTTTAGCTGCTAAATGGGGCAGGATTATTTTTCAACTTGATGTGAATAATACTTTCCTTCATGGGGATCTCCATGAAGAGGTTTATATGAAGGTTCCACCTGGTCTTGATGTTTCTTCTCCCCTAGTTTGCAGACTCAAGAAGTCACTCTATAGCCTTAGGCAAGCTTCTAGACAGTGGTTTTCAAAACTGTCTGAAGCTTTGCAATCCAGAGGCTACATTTCAAGCATGAATGATTATTCTTTATTCACCAAGGTCTCCTCTGATTCTCTTATTGTCTTGGCTGTCTGTGTTGATGACATTTTGCTAGCTTGTAATAATGTTCTTGAGATGAACTCTTTGAAATCTTTCTTGGATGCTCAATTTAAATTCAAGGACCTAGGCTCAGTTCACTACTTTCTGGGTTTAGAAATATTTCTTCTTCCTCAAGGCTATGTGATGAGCCAATACAAGTACACTTCTGACCTCTTGTCTGAATTTCATTGTCAACATTTCTCTCCTGTCATGACCCTTTTGGACCCTTCTGTGAAACTAGTATTAGACATGGGGGAGCCTGTTTCGGATCCTAGCTTGTATAGGAGATTGATTAGGAAGCTTAACTTTTTGCAACATACTAGGCCTGATATCTCCTTCTCCGTTCAATATTTAAGTCAGTTTCTTCAAAAGCCTCAAGTGCCCCACATGTTGGCAGCCTTGCATGTTCTCAGGTATTTGCTTAATGATCTAGCTTAAGGTGTGCTCCTCTCCAGCTCCTCAGATTTGTCTCTCACAACCTACTCTGACTCTGATTGGGCTGCATGTGCCATGACTTGCAAATCTGTCACTGGCTATTACATTACTCTTGGTAGCAGCCCCATTTCTTGGAAAAGCAAAAAGCAGCCCACCATCTCCTTGTCTTCAGCTGAAGCTAAATATAGAGCACTTCGCAAAGTTTCAACTGAGGTTTCTTGGTTACTCAGGTTGCTGCATGATCTTGGTTTGTCTATCTCCAGTCCAGTTCCAATCTATTGTGACAACCAGGCAGCACTTCATATTGCAAAGAACCTGGTATTTCACGAGCGCACCAAACATATTGAAGTTGACTGTCATTATGTGCACGCTTGCTTGCAGGCTGGTCTGATTTTCTTGCATTTTATCTCCAGTACCAACCAGTTGGCAGACATCATGACCAAAGCTCTTCCTGGTCAGGTTCATGATGGTTTACTTTGCAAGCTTGGTGTGTTCTCATCCTCAAGCTGGGGGGAGGGGAGGGGGGTGTTAACCCAGATATATTTCAGGCCCAATTGACATAGGCCCAATTGGATAAAGGGAAGCAGAAGGCCCTTTATAAATCTTAACCCATATCTGTTGTAGTTTAATATGTAAATATCATTATAATTCTTTTTCTTGATTACACTTGTAAATATAAATAGTTTCTACAGAATAATGAGATCAGTTTTTGGTCAATTACACTTTGACCGACTCACTCGTCTCTCTCTTTTTCTCTCAGCCCTTCTAGGGTTTTCTTCTTTTTATCTCCGCCATAGCTAACAAGCTTCTAACCTAACAGTTTAAAACCATAAACACTTCTTTTTTAACAAGGTTACACATTTTATTAAATTATTACAGTAGTTAGCACAAAGATTGTGCTAAGAGAAACTACTGTTAAAGGACCATATAAAAGGCAAAAGCTTAGTCCTAAGTTAGTTACAAAGACCCAAAAGTGTTTTCTTTTTTAAACTCCGTATATAAAATAAAATAGAGGAAGTAATGTAATTTATTTTTCTAGGTAAACTGACCTGGTTCTTTATGGGTGTAGCAAAAAATCACAGCCCACGAGGACTGGACAAGTCAGGTTCATCACAAAGGGTGGATCTGAAGGCTCTCTTGATGATGGATACAACTGGAGAAAGTACGGACAGAGATGTATTCTTGGAGCTAAATTTCCTAGGTAGTAAGTCAATTTCACTACCCTGTGTAAAAGTCATAAGTTCATATTTTTTTTTTTTTTTTGGTAATTAGTCAAATTTTATTTACCAAGGGAAAATATATGTATAAACAAATCAAAACCCCTAAAGCTGGGCAGCCCCAACTTTAGCACACCTATCTCCTTAACCTCCCTATCACTTTTTACAACATGTTCGAAGCAAACTTAGGGGTAATAGTTCATATTTCTCAAAATTCCTGCTATCCTACTATTCCATTATCCTCTACCATGTATGTATTGTACTATCGAGGCCTACAACACTTATTTGTTTGCCCAAAAAAGTCCTTTGGTTCCTCTCTTACCACAAATAGTAGATTCAACCAGCCATCACCATCCTAAATATACCAGCTTTGGCATTTTTTTTCCTCCAGCATGATTGATTGCCCAATTAACTTCTTGACTCTATCCCATAGGTAATCTGTTGATGCCTTGCCAGTTTAGCAGTTTGGTCCATAATCCTGCAAAAACCTTGCAGCTGAAGAACAGATGTTCAGTGTTGCATAGAGGATACTAAGTTTGTTACTACATCCCACTTAAGCAGCATGTCCTTAGCCTGTCCTTTGTATATATTCTCCCAAGAGCTACCAGTTGCAGGATAAATGTCCATTTGTTGCATGGATTATTACACACTAGTCTTCTCCAGCTAACCTTGTGGAAGTCACATCTTAATATGTGTAATTATGGCCAATATTTTGGCTAATGGAGTCCATCTCACATAAGCATATTTGCAAAGTGTAGACTTTGTTGACAATATTTTTTGGGACCCAAAAATATTGCATTATGTGGTGGACATCATTTGCACAAGTTGCATCTCTTCTTTTACACCTAAGAGGCTAAGACTTTTTTGCCTATAAAAGGGAAGGCCATTAGTTCATTTTAGACACACCAACAAGACTTGAGCCTTCATTTCTTGTTTTTTTCCTTTCCTCCTTTATTAAGAGTATTTTGTACGAGAGTTAGTGTTGGGAAGCACTTGTGTGAACCCTTTCTTTGGAGTGATCTTGTGAAGTTATTCTCTTAGGGTATTTGGGATTAATTAGAGTGTTTACTCTAATTTTGTACTCTCTTTTGTACTCTTATTGGTATAGTAAAATTGCTTCTCTCCACTTGTGGACGTAGGTCACACTGACCGAACCACGTTAAATTGGTGTCTTCTTTATCTACTTTAATTGTCATTATTATCAACTTGCATTGTCTTTGTTATTGTCATTATAACGTTGTTTTGCTAAATTCCGCACTACCCGAATTCTCGATCTTAACAATATGCGATAGAAATTCTTTATTGAGAACTAAGTAACATCCATCAGATCTTCATATGTGTAGCCATCAGCTTCAACAATCTCTTTTGCCTTAAACACCTTGCTCACCATCCAAGAAGCATTTCTAGGTTTAACCGTCCCACAAGTGATTTCTCTTCACAGAAATAGCATCTAGTACATAATATCCAGCCCTTCCTCTTCAAAGTTTCTTGTGTTATACAAGCCTCATGTGTCACGAGCCAGCCCAAGCTTGCGACTTTGATTGGCACTGCACTTTTCCAAATCATCTTCAGAGGCCATTTCCTAGATTGTCCTTGCTGTTGTGCATTAAGAATTCTATAACATGAACTTACTGAGAGAATGCCATTACTGCTTGCCTTACAGAGTAGTTTATCTTCCTTTCCATGTATGACTGAAACTTTTTGCATCTTTTGAATGAATAACAGAGTGTTTGGATTGACTTTTAAGTTGGTCAAATCAGCTTTTAAGTTGTTTTTATTTTTTTCAGTGTTTGACAAAGTTAAAAAGTGGTTAAAATAAGTTTAAAACTGCTTAAAACAAGCCAAAACCAATAAGCTGGTCAACCCCAACTTATTGATTTTTGGCTTAAAAGCTAATTTTGCTAAAAAAATCATCTTTTTAAGCGAATCCAAACATGCTCTAAGTCTATTTCTTGCATTTCTCTTTCAAAAGGATTCCTTCTAAATTGAAAATCCCAACCATCCTCAGTGAACACATCTGCTAGCATGATATCCGGATTACCAGCAGCACAAAAAAGAACTTGTAAACTAATCCTTAAGAATCCCAGATTCATCCCAATTATCTTTCCATAGCCTGATCCTCTTACCGTCACCGACTTCCAATCTAATATGCTTACTAAATTCTGCCCAGAGATTTGAAATTTACCTCCAAACAGCTAATCCATATGGCATATTAACTTCCTTAGGAGCCCATAAACCTTCTTTCCCATACTTGATGTTCACTACTGCTTTCCAACTTCATGCTATGTATTTTTCAACTTCAAATTTCAAATTTCAAGAGTCATATGTATTGATGCCAAGTTTACATATCTTTGCAGAAGCTACTACAGATGTAAATATTGGATCTTGCAAGGTTGTTTGGCAAATAAACAAGTACAAAGGTCAGATGATAATCCTTCTGCGTTTGAGATCACATACAAAGGCTTCCATACCTGTCACCAAGTTACTAATTCTGCATTACGACCAACATCAGTAGAGAAACAAGTCTACCATCCAACAAAGCAATCAAATGAAGTGCTCATGAACTTGAGAGTCAATACTAATAATTTGGACGACAATAGGACATCAAGGGCTTTCACCATCTTTGGTCTCTCAGAGAAATCAAAATTTTCAGATTCTCATGATGACAATCTAATAGGTGGATATTCACCATCTTTCGTCTCTCCTACAACCACTGAATCAACTTACTTCCCAGTCTCTTGCCAGATGACTGGCTTTGGAATAGTTCACAACTTGCAACATTCAGAATCATACCTCAGTGATATTGGAATAGTTCAGAACCTGCACCATTCAGACTCAGACCGCACTGACATATTCTCAACCAACACTTCCACAACAAGTTCGTCAACTAGGGGTATAGATGTCAAATGGGCAGAATTTCGACAGGTAATGAAGAGGTCATTAATCCGCCCAAGGTTACTTTGGATGAGACAGAATGAGTTAAGATGTGCTAAACAATTAGTCTTATAATTTATTTGATTACCAAACAAAACTAATAAACTTCTTTTTCTTTATTATGGCTATATCAAAAAAAAATATATTTTGGACAAGTTGCTTATGAGTTATGGGTCAATTGAGACACATATTCAGCTCAAACCAGCCCAACATATGGACTAACTTGTGTTGTGCCCAAATTGACCCGCCATGAAAACATGCCCAACCAAACTCATCTGTGTGGGATTAGGTATATTTTCATGGGTTAATTTTGCCATCCCTAATTGCGGCTAAGTTCACTAGATCATTTGGAGCTAGATCCAAATTTCACATTTGATAACCCCAAAAACTTTTCATGAACCAAAGCTAATATTTTTCAAAAGGACAATTAGTATAAACATGATTGTAAAATTTAGCAATAGAACTAGCTACAGTTAATTTATTATTGTGTTGTTGTTACTGTTTGCTGCTATTGCTTCTTTTTCATCTTTTTTCTTTTGAGTTGAGGATCTATCAGAAACAACCTCTCTACCCTTACAAAGCGGGGGTAATATCTGCATACACTCTACCCTGCTCAGACTTCACTTATAAGATTATCGTGAGTTTGTTGTTGTCGTAGAACTAACTATGCACATATTAGGAACTAGATATGATATTTGTAACAACGGTCTACTGTGTTTTAAGGGCTGAACTTCCAGTCATTTGACATCAAGCTGCTGAGTGAATCAAGTGTATTCTTGCAACAGGTAATTGAATATTCATGAATTTTATCAAACTACAGACGGCTTGGCTGGGCTTGTGTAATTGTGCTTGCTTACTATCATAAGAGCTCAAAATGAGACAAATATTAGATTAGCATCTGAGGTTAAATAGATGTAAGAACCGACCTCAAACTGGATGTGAAGTCAAATAAGGACTAGTGACTGGGCCTTGAATCTGTGGTTAAACCGGGGATTTGCATCTATACCCAGTTTTTGGGTCACAATTTAACTTATACCCACTTTGCAAAAATAATTGCAAGCGTACCCACTTTTCGGGTAACTTCAGACATACGGGGCCTGAAGTAGCAAGAATTTATGTCTAAAGTTTGAACTTCAGAATTTTTTGCCTGAAGTGTGACCTTATCAAAGTAAAACTTCAGATATTTTAGTCTGAAGTTTGGCCTGACTTGCAAAAGCAATCAGAAAAACTTTAGTTCGTAGTACAAACTTCAGACAAATTAGTCTGAAGTTCTTCAGTTTGTAGTACAAACTTCAGACAAAATTAACTTGTTATATTTGAACTTCAGATAATTTTTCCTCGCATGATAGTTGCAAACTTTAGACAAAATTTAACTTGGTAATGTCTGAAGTTTGGCCCTGCAGTCCCAAACTTCAGTTGATGCTTCTTCGAGTTTTGACAATAAATTCTTGTTTTATTATTTACGTACTTTGTGTTGGGGTGCAAACTTCAGACAAATTAGTCTGAAATTTTTCAATTTGTAGTGCAAACTTCAGACAAAATCAGCTTGTTATATTTGAACTTCTGATAATTTTTTCTGGCATGATAGTTGCAAACTTCAGACAAAATTTAACCTGGTAATGTCTGAAGTTTGTCCCTGCAGTCCCAAACTTCAGTTGATGCTTCTTTGAGTTTTGACAATAAACTCTTGTTTTATTATTTACGTACTTTGTATTGGGATGTATTAATGTTTGAGAGGCAGTGGCGAGTCTTTCTTTCTTCTTGATTTGTCGTTTTGTCCAATTTCCAGAAACAATAACATGTGTAACTTACAGGATAACATGTTTGATAGAGAAAAGAAGAAGAAGAGGAAAAGAAGAGGAGGAAGAAAGGATCACACGATCTGAAGTTGTCAAAATTAGGGTATAGGTTAAATAATTTTTAAAATATGGGTATAAGTTAAATGGGGGCGCCCTATTAATTTTTACGGTTAGTCCAAGAACCGCACAATTGAATGAATTGAAAGTCGACAGATCGATTCATAGTCCATCAAAACTATTCATCTTTTTCGGTGTTTTAGGACCATAAAATAAGAATTCAAGACAATTTTTAATTTTTCGTGTGCTAATATCCATGCCATCTTAATGAATTCGGGCGACGGGCTCCGAATCGCTTAAAATTTTGTGGGTCCATAAGAAACGAACTAATGAACAATAATCATTGCTTCACCATGACCGTTCCTCATTCTTTTTTTTGTTTTACGGCCATAAATTAGAAATTCAGCACAATTTTCGAATTTTCGTGTCCTATTATCCACGTCATCTTTATGAAATCGGGCAACTAGCCCCAATCGCCTAAAATTTTGCGGGGCCATAACAAATGATCTAATGAACAATAGCCATGGCTTCGGCATGACCTTTCCTCCTTTTTAGGCATTTTAGGGCCAAAAAACTAGAAGTCGAGCCGATTTTCAATTTCTTTTGTGTTATAGTTCACACATCTGCATGAATCCGGGATACCGGATTCGAATCACCTATAAGTTTACGGAGCCATAAAAAATGACATAATAAACGATAGTTATGACTTCGGTATGACCGTTCCTCATTTTCAGCATTTTACAGACAAAAAACTAGAATCTGGGTCGCTTTCAAAATTTTCGTGTGCTATTAATAGTCCATGTCATCTGCATGAATCCGGAATATCGGATCCGAATCATCTAAAATTTTGTGGGGGCCTAAAAATGACCTAACGAATAATAGTCATGGCTTCGACATGTCCATTCTATCATTTTTGGCATTTAAGGGCGAAAAAACGGAAATTTGGGTCAATTTCTAAATTTTCATGTGCATAGTCCATGCCATTTTCATGAATCTGGGCTATCAGATACGGATCGCCTAAAATTTTGTGGGACCATAAAAAATGACTAATTAACAATGGTCATGGCTTCGGCATGACCATTCTTCATTTTTTGGCATTTTAGAGATAAAAAACTAGAATTCAGGACGATTTTTAAATTTTTGTGTGTTATAGTCCATGCCATCTACATGAATCCGGGCTACCGGATCCGAATCACCTAAAATTTTGTAGGACCAAAAATAATTAACAAAAGTCATGGCTTCGGCATGACCATTCCTCATTTTTTAGCATTATAGGGCAACAACACTGAAATTCCGGTCGATTTCTAAATTTTCATGTGCTATATAATCCACGCCATCTACATGAATCTGGGCTACCTGATATGAATTGCCTAAAATTTTAAGGAGCCATAAAAAATTACCTAGTGAATAATAGTCATGGCTTTAGCATGATCGTTCCTCTTTGTTTGGAATTTTAGGGCTAAAAAACTGGAATCCGGGCCGATTTTCAAATTTTTGTGTGTTGTAGTCCACACCATCTGCATGAATCTGGGCTACCGAATCCGAATCGCCTAAAATTTTACAGGGCCATCGGAAATAACCTAATGAACAATAGTTATTGATTTGACATAACCGTTCCTCGATTTTCAGAATTTTAGGGCTAAAAAATTGGTATTCTGGCGGATTTCCAATTTTTGTATAGTACACGTCATCTGCATGAATCCGAGATACCGGATACGAATTGCCTAAAATTTTATGGGGCCATAAACAATAACCTAATGAACAAAAGTCAAAGCTTCGACATAACCGTTCCTGTTGTTTTGGCATTTTAGGGCCTAAAACACTGGAATTCAAGCCGATTTTCAAATTTTCGTGTGCTATAATCCACGCCATCTACATGAATCCGGGCTACCAGATCCTAATAGCCTAAATTTTGTGGGGCCGTAAAAAGTGACTAATTAACAATAGTCATGGCTGCGGCATGACCATTCCTAGTTTTTTGGCATTTTAGAGCCAAAAAACTGGAATTTAGGACAACTTTCAAATTTTCATGTGTTATATTCCACGCCATCTGCATGAATCTGGGCGACCGGATTCTAATTACCTAAAAATGTGCGGGACGATAAAAAAATGACCAAATGAACAAAAGTCATGGTTTCGGCATGACCGTTTCTCATTTTTTAACATTATAGAGCGAAAATACTAGAATTCGGGCCGATTTCTAAATTTTCGTATGTTATAATCCACGCCATCTGCATTAATCGGGATACCGAATCTGAATTGCCTAAAATTTTACGGAGCCATAAAAAATAATCAAGTGAACAATAGTCATGGCTTTAGCATGACCGATCCTCTTTGTTTGGAATTTTAGGGCAAACAACTGGAATTCTCGACGATTTTCAAATTTTCGTGTAATCCACGCCATCTGCATGAATCCGGGCTACCGGATTTGAATCGCCTAAAATTTTGCGGTGCCATCAAAAATCACCTAACGAACAATAGTCATTACTTCGGCATGGGCGTTCCTCGTTTTTGACATTTTAGGATGAAAATGGTATTCACGCCGATTTTCAATTTTTGTGTGCTATAGTATACGCCATCCGCATGAATTCTGGATACCGAATCCGAATCGCCTAAAATTTTAAGGGGCCATAAAACCTTATGAATAATAGTCAAATATCAGCATGCCCGTTCTTGAGTTTCTAATTTTCGTGTGCTACACGCCATCTTCAAGAATCTAGGCTATCAAATCTTAATCGCCTAAAATTTTACGGGGCCATAAAAATGAACTAATAAATAATAATTAGGGCTTCGGCATGACCGATCCTTATTTTTTGGTATTTTAGGGCAAAAGAATTGGAATTCAGGCAGATTTCCAAATAATTGTTTGTCCACGCCATCTCCATGAATCTGGACTACAGAATCCGGATCACCTAAAAGTTTTTCAGTTCATAAAATAAGACTTAAGGAACAATAGTCATCCTTTCGCCATGACCGTTACTCATTGTTTGGCATTTTAGGGCCACAAAACTAGAATTCCGCTCGATTCCTATATTTTCGTGTGCTCTAGCCCACACCTTCTGTATGGACCCGAGCTAACGGACCCGGATCACCTAAAAGTTTGTCGGATCATCAAAAACCAACCTAAGAAATAATAGTCACCTCCTCGCCATGATCGTTACTCATTTTTTTTACCGTTTTAATGCCATAAAACTAGAATTTCAACCGATTCCCAAATTGTCTTGTGTAATGGCCCGTGCCTTCTGAATGCGCGGGTGCTTTCGGATACGAATGGCCAAAACTTTTGCCGAGCCTTCAAAAACAACGTAAGTCACAATAGTCAGCGCCCCGCCATGATCGTTCCTCATTTGTTTGGTTTTTTAGGTCATAAAACTGGAATTCCGCCCAATTTCTTGATTTTCATGTGCTATAGCCCACGTCTTCTGTATGGTCCTGAGTCCCCAGACCCGTTTCTCCTAAAAACAAATTCGGACTATCAAAAATGACCTAAGGAATAGTAGGCACTACCCCGCCATGACTGTTCCTCATTTCTGGCGTTTTAAGGCCATAAAAATGGAATTTCGGCTGATTTCCTGATTTTCGTGTGCTATAGCTCACGCCTTCCACATAGGCCCAGACCCGGATCGCCTATAATGTTTTCGGGCCATAAAAATGACCTAAGGAACATTAGTCACTGCCCGACCATGACCATTCATTATTTTTGGCGTTTTAGGGCCATAAAACTGAAATTTCGCTTGGTTATCTGATTTTCGTGTGTTATAGCCCACGCCTTCCGCATGGGTCGGGCCCTCAGACTCGGATCACCTAAAAATATTTCTTCCCAGCAAAAATGACATAACGAACAATAGGCAACTCCCTGCCATGAGCATTCATCATTTTTGGCATTTTAGAGCCATAAAACTGGAATTCCGTTTGATTCCTAAATATTCATGTGCTATAGCCCACCCCTTCTATATGGGCCTTTTCCCCCGTACTCGGATCCTCTAAAACTTTTTCGGGTCATCAAAATGACCTAAGGAACAATACTCGCCGCCCCGCCATGATCGTTCCTCGTTTTTGGCGTTTTAGGACCATAAAACTGAAATTTCGACCGATTCTCAGATGTTCATGTACATAGCCCACACCCTCTGCATGGTCCCAGGCGACCTGACCCGGATCGCCTAAAATTTTGCTGGACTATCAAAAATAACCTAATGAACAATCGTCACCGCCTCTCCATGACCGTTACTCTCATTGGACCCGGATCGCCTATAATTTTGCCGGACCACCAAAAACAACGTAAGGAATAATAGTCACAACTCGCTATGACTGTTACTCATTTTTTGGTGTTTTAGGGCCATAAAATTAAAATTTCGCACGATTTCGAGACTTTCGTGTGCTATAAGCCCATACCTTATACATTGTCCAGGGCGACCGGACCCCAATCGTCTAAAATTTTGCCGAACCATAAAAAATGACCTAAGCAAATATAGTCACCGACTCGCCATGACTGTTACTCATTTTTAGAGTTTTAGGAATATAAAACTTAAATTCTGCCAGATTCCCAAAGTATTGTGTTATAGCACACACCTTCTGTATGGGCCCGGGTGACCGGATCTTGATCGCCTAAAATTTTACTGGGCAATAAAAAAGGACCAAAGAAATAATAATCACCGACTCTCCATGACCAAAGGGCCATAAAACTTGAATTTCGCCAGATTCCTAAATTTTCATGTGCTATAGCCCATGCCTTCTACATGGGCCCGGATGAATAGACCCAGATCGCCTAAAAGTTTGCCAGACCACCAAAAATGATGTAAGTAATCGTTAAACCCTATATTTTCGTACATAAAAGTGCGTCGTGAGCAAACTAATATAGGACCAAAAATGAGATCATCTTTGAAAATATATAAAGTAAGTTAATCATGTTACCTCTAAGGTTACAAATATTGAAGATCATGAACAACACGTACAAAGAGGTTTAGAAGGTTCAGAAGCTAAAGGAATTGAAGAAAATAATATTTCGTCGAAAGTCAACAAGTTGGGAATGTTATAATAGGTACTTTTGGGGTGCGACTAGGGTGCTTAACATGATAAGGAGGTTATGTTATGATTTATGTTAGTCGTATGAAAGTCATGTGTTATGTTTTGAAGTCAAGC